AGTCACAGATCACAGTGGCACTGGCATTAAAAGAGACTCAGCAGGGCAAGCCTGGTGGCGCAGTGGTTAAGTTCGTGCCTTCTGCATTGGTGGCCCAGGGTTCCCCAGTGCAGATCCTGGGTGCGGACCGACTCACTGCTCATCGAGCCATGCTGAGGCGGCATCCCACACAGAAGAGCTACAACTTTACAACTATGATACACAGCTATGTACTGGGGCTTTGCGGGGGGAAAAAAGAAAAAAGAGGAAGATTGGCAACAGATGTTAGCACAGGACCGATCTTCCTAAATAAAAAAAAAAAAAGTGGTTGGTATGGTTTGAATGTTTAAAAAAAAAGACAGCGCGGAGCTGACTCAGGGCTCTTTACGGTCCTGTAGAGGGACTGGGGTTGAGTTGAGCTCACAGGTTGAGGTTCAGTTGTTTTAGCTGGCAGAGTTAGAGGCTTGGGGGTAGGGCGTGGTGGAAGCGTCTTTCTTTCTGGAGGGTGTCACCACCTCTCGTTTCTGACTGTCATCTCCCTGTTGTCATTGACACTGAAGAGCAGGAACTTGGTCCCTATGTGCAGCTTTCTACCTGCATAGTCACAATGATGTCTTCATCACGACGAAGATGCTCTTCATCCTCTGGTGTGTAACCTTACCTTGTTCTTACTTCAACAGCAATGGCACTGCCAGACCTAGGACAGGAAATGGGAAAAGGCAGTGTAGTGGTTAAGAATAGGGATTCTGGAAGCTGACTCCCTGGGTTTGAATCCTGGCCCTGCAACAAGCAAGTTACTTATCCTTCCTGTGCCTCAGTTTCCTCATTTGTAAAAGGGGATAATAATAGTACCTAGCTCATAGGGCTATTGTGAGGACTAAATGAGTTAATACATGTCAAGTGCTTAGAATTGTGTCTGCATGTAGTAAACATTATGTAAGTGTTTGCTAATAATAATAATGGTCATAAGAATTACCATCCTATTCTAGCAGAGGTACTAATATAGCTAGTAAATCACCATATTGAGTTACTAAAATATTGATTGAGTGCCTACTATGTGCTAGGGTCTTTTCTATATAAGGGTGAGAATTCTGAGAGGTGAGAATCAATAGGGTCTAGTAAAGTCATAGACTATCACAGAGAGAAAGGCTAAATCTATATTTTCTAAAAAATATTTGTGTTCCTTTTTCTCCTCAATTACATATGCCATGTCCCCTCTAAGACTTCAGGGAGAAGTCACATGGGTGGGAAGTGAGGTCTCTTCTGTACCAAAAGTTCTTTGGAGAGTAGTTAAAAAATTTTGTCACAGGCCATATAGTTTAGAGTGATATTATTCTGTGTAACTAGATGTTTTACTCTGGTTGAAAGTATGGTGAAGAAAGAGTAAATTTAATTAAACGGTGTTGTTTTGACCTGCAGAGCTGGAGCTTTGGTGGCGAAAAGAGTGACAAGATAGGAGGGTCCCAGGGTTGTCTGAATAGTGTAAAAGTGTAGACATACAAATTTGTTGTCAAGAGGAGCCAAACCATGGTCAGGAAAATGCCCTGGGCCTTGAGGCTGAAGTATAAGGAGAAAGACAAATGGGAGAAAGAGCAGCTGGGTCAGTGTCGGAGAGACTGGCAGGAAGGATACCCACGGGTTCCGGAGGGTAGAGAGCGCAGAGGGAAGTGTGTGAAAGGTGAATGGTGCTGGGGCCATGCCCGCCAGGCTGCAAGCTCCCTGAAGGCAGGGCTGTGTGTGGCTTGCTGCCTTCCCTGTCCTCAACCCCAGGTCACTGCCTAACTCAGAGGAGGCACTGTAAGTGGTTCTTGAGTGGGTACAGACATCAAGGTTGGAAGAAACCACAGTTGTAAACCATTTCGTCTAAGATCCTGTCCCATAAAATAATTAGAATGATCCTTTAAAAATATGTCAATGTGGGTGGTTGGAGGTGGCAGGGCTCAAAAAAAAGTCACTCCTCTGATTCAAATCGTTTGATGGTTTCACGTCTCACCTAGAAATCCACATGACTTCCTTTTTCTTTTAGGTCTGTGCTCAAAAAAGGCCTTCCGCAATACACAAGTTTCCTCATCACTTTCTATCCTGCTTTTTCTTTTTTTTTTTAAAAGAGTATTTTTCTTTCACTACATGCCTTTTTTGTGTGTGAGGAAGATCAGCCCTGAGCTAACATCTGCCAACCCTCCTCTTTTTGCTGAGGAAGACTGGCCCTGGGCTAACATCCGTGCCCATCTTCCTCCACTTTATATGGGACGCCACCACAGCATGGCCTGACAAGGGGTGTCTCGGTGCATGCCTGGGATCCGAACCCGGGCCGCCAGCAGCAGAGTGCACGCACTTAACCACTACGCCATGGGGCTGGCCCCTATCATGCTTTTTCTTTACAGCACTTATCCCCAGATGACCTGTATCTTTCTTTGTTTATGGTCTGCCTCTCCCTACTCTTCTCTCTACTATATTGTAAGCTCCTTGAAAGCAGGAACTTTGTTTTGTTCACTGTGGTAGCCCCAGCATCTAAAACAATGCCTGACATGTAGAAGGTGCTCAAAAATACTTGTTGAATGAATGAATGTGTGCCCGCCAGTGGAGACCTGGAGCATCTCTGATTTTATCCGGCTAGAGGCCAAGACACTGGAGAATGTGGGATGCAGGTGTCCACGTGGGCTCCTACAGCCATGGCCCTCCTACCAGACCAGTGAGAAGAGCTGAGCTTGACAATGCCAGGAGCCCAGGCCCTTCTGTTCTGGAAGTTGCTGTTAACTATCTGTAATTGTGAGGTTGAGGGCCTGGATAGTACAGGATTCACGTGGTTTGAGAATGGTACAAGGGCAGCACCATTAACCTTTAAGTTAGCCAATAAACTTGACTGAGTGGGTTTGAGAAATTGAAAGAAAGCCCCTGTGTTTGGGTATGTGGACAGGCAAAGAGAGAGTGGTAGATGGGATTAGAGAGAGAGATAGGATCTTCTCTAAAAGTAAGACTAACCAATGAGTTCAGTCTTAGTTGGTTGAGCAGTAGAAGCCCGTGAAAGGATTGAAGCAGGGGAGTGACAGGATCAGATTCGTATTTTGAAACATTTTCTCTAGCTGCAGTGTGAATGGACTGGAGGAGGCAGGAGTGAATTAGGGAGAAAATGAAGAACATTCCAGAGGAAATAACATGAACATCAGGGAATGCAATAGAGTATAGCAATTGGGCCAGGGCTTAGCAGGGATAGCTTATCAATTTCTCTAGAGTATTGGGGGGAGGGGGTGGTCAATATTGGTGGTACAAGGCCGGGGATGAAGAGATGGTGGAAGGTAAGGCAGGATAAGTTAGAAGGGCTTCCTGTGACTTTATTAATATGTTTACAAGAAATTTCAGGAGAGACCATCACAACATCCTCAATTTACACAAATAAGAATTGCTGAATTGAAATTGCCACAATTAAAAATAAAAAAATCCCCAAAAAGCCCTGAGCAGGCTAACAACACACATTTATCATGGTGTACAGTTTGAAGCCTTTGCCTTCCCTCAGTGAATGTCAGACTTGAGCAAGCATCAGGATAACCTGGTGGGCTTGTTAAAACAGATTGCTTGGCCCCACCCCAGAGTTTCAGAATCAGTAAGCCTGGGGTGAGGCCCGAGAATTTGCATTTCTAATAAATTCCCAGGTGTTGTGAGGCTACTGATACTGATCCAAGGGTTACGCTTTGCGAGCTACTACATTAGATAATTCTGCAGACTACTCTTGATTAATTTCTATATATCTGTTTGTGATAAATCTTTGGTTCTGGGGTCCATGAAAGCCTTAAGTGCCTGCCATGCCCTTAGCCATGCATTATGCCATGTGACCCTGCTTCTCTGGCTAGTAATACTCTGTAGACTAAAGGCTAGACCTAATAGGCTGGGCGTGGAAACTCTGCCCAATTTTGCACAATATATGGTGAATAATCCAATTAGAATAATCCAATCCAACTTTGAATGCAAGACACACGAAGGCAGGTCAGGTAGAAGCACAGGCTAAGAGAAGCTTAATTCTGAGGGAACAACAAAACTCGTCAGGTCACCAGAGCCTCGTCTTTTTACCTGGAGCAGTGTGAACCACATTCTGCCACCATGAGGCCCGTGGGGCTGCTGAGATGCTTCCTGTGCTCCCCCACTTCCTGGTGTGACCCTGATATAAACCGGCATCTTCTCTGCTAAGAAGTCTCTCTTCCGTGTTTCCTGGAAGATCCTCCCACCCTCTGTTTTAATAGCTCTGATATCTCCATCGCACCTTTGAGTCTCTGCTTTTCTCTGGAAGGAAACATTCCACCTTGATCAAGAAATGCGACACCCTAAGGCTCAGTTTCTATTGAGTTTGAGAAAAATTATAAACTATGCCTTCATTCACGAGATAGGAATTTTTCTATCTGCCCACATGCCTTCCAATAATTGCAACACATGACTTTTAGGGAACATCCTGGAATTACTATAAAAATCAGTAAACATCTCACTCCAGCATCCTGCTTCTCTCCTCCCTTATTGCTCCTCAGTCAGTTCATTTAGTGAAGACAGCACTCAAAGAATCTTAGCAGGTTTCCCCGCTTCTAGCCCCTCCAGTCCTTTGTCCCCCGAAAAAGGAGAAAGCAGATTGTAGTTTTGAAAGGCGGAGGGAAAACAATGCTACAAGTAGGTACCGTCTGCGGCCGAAAAGATGGCCTTAAAGGTAGCGAGCTTTTCCTTACGGAGGGAGTGTCAAGAGGCTGCACGGCTGCCTAGAAACGGCCGCAGAGGGGATAGCTGCCTGAAGTCTCCTCCAACTCAGAGACTGAGAGGCGGGGACAGGGGAGCGGGTCTCGGATAGAGAGATGCTGACAGTGCTCGTCCCCACCGGATTATCTTCCAGGAACCACACCTGAACCACGGCCCAGTGAGGGACCAATTGGGGCGGGCACTTCCCGATCCGGGCATCGGGCAAGACTCTCGTAGCCAATCCTCGGAGAGGCCCGGGTGACGTCACTGGCTGCGCTGCAGCCTGTCTCGCGACGTCCTCCTACAGGGCCGGAAGTGGTGCGGCACGGAGGAGTGACGTGACGTGCCCGTCCCTGCCGTCTCGAGGTAAGGCAGTGGTGGGCCTGCCTCTTCTGCCGGCCGTGTTGAAGGCGTGGGTGTGGGCCTTAGGCTAGTCCGGTACTGCCCGTGAGTGCTGGGCCTTGAATAACGCTCTCAGGGCTTCTTTCCTGGCAGGGCCTGCCCCATCCTCTGGCTCCAGGGCGCTCGGCATCTCACTGCCCTCCTGCTCCCTCGGGCGGAGTTTGGGCGGCGCTCACCTTGGTCTCCGCCCCTCTTGGCGTTCGCTCACCTGTGGCCCCGACACCTGTACCTAGGTTGGTCGCAAGACAAGCAGAGAAAAGATTAGAGGGTGGGCACTGTCCAACCCAAGGAGGCGGCTCAGCTTGTCGGGAAGGACCTTGTTTCCTCCTGAAACGCTCCCTGAAAGGAACTCGAGGGCCCTCCACAGCGGCCTCAAGGAAGGCCAGAAGAAGCAAGCCTTCTCTCTCGCAGACCGGTGATAGCGGCTCAACAAAGCAGGGATCTAATTTCCATTGGAATTAATGTGGTCCAGGTTTGCAGGCTTTTGGGAATTTGACTTATATTGGAGGTCGTTAGAGCACTTGAGACAGGACTGTTCGTGTGGGGAGACAATACAGATTGGTGCCCTTTCACCATGGTTGCAGAGTCAGAGCTGACGGTGGTCTTTTTACATGTCCTTAGCTTCTACTTTTCTTCTGCCTTCACTATTAACAAGAGTGATAATGGTGTTGAATGCTTACTTTTTGCCAGATACAGGTTTAAATACTTCCTTATTTAGCCCTTGTGACAACCCTGTGGTGCAGAGCAATTTTTTTTTTATTTTTATTTTTTTGTGAGGAAGATCAGCCCTGTGCTAACATCTGCCAATCCTCCTCTTTTTTTGCTGAGGAAGACTGGCCCTGAGCTAACATCAGTGCCCATCTTCCTACACTTTATATGGGATGCCGCCACACCATGGCTTGACAAGCAGTGTGTCGGTGCACGCCAGGGATCCGGACGGGGGAACCCTGGGCTGCTGCAGCGGAGCGCACCGCACTTAACCGCTTGCGCCACCGGGCCGGCCCCCAGAGCAATTATTAATATCGTTTTACAGCTGAAGAAATAAAGGCTCAGGTTAAACAACTGGCCCCAAGTCACTCAATGAGTAGGTAGTAGAGCCACAATTTAAGGTTAAGCAGGTGGACTTCAGAGGCCTGAAAGTTCTCCACTATTCTATATTGACTGTCTTCAGTTGTTCACTGAGCTCCCAAACACCTCACTCCGTTGTTATCTACTATTTTATGGAGAAAATTGAGGTCATCAGATGTGCTTTCCCTCAAATTTCTGCACCTGCTTTTCCTTCTTACATAGTCTTCTGGATTTACACCCACCTCTACCTTTCCCTCAGTCTCCAGATGAGCTGTCTCCTCTGATCAAAGCAGATCCTTTTATCTTTGCTTCTGACCTTTCTTTTATACTTTCACCTCTGAGACCTTGTTTTCATTTGTCTTTTCGGCCCATCTATGTCCCAGTCATGTATAAACAAGGTCAGGTTTTTCAGATCCCTGGCTACCCCCACAACCCAAGCCAGAAAGAAAGAAAAAGTTATTGGTGATCCATCTTCCTTTAGCTGTCATCCGGTAACTCTCTTCCCCTTCTTATCCAAACTGTTTTAAAGAGTGTTCTAAATTCTGACTCTGTTTCCTCACCTCCCATTCGCTCTGCAGTCTAGCTCTCAGACCTGTCATTCCCCTGAAATTATACCCAAAGGTCACTAGTGATTGGTGATGAAACCAGGTAGGCATTTTCAATCATTGCTGCACCCCTTTGCTGCTTTTTTTTCTTTTGTGAGGAAGATCATCCCTGAGCTAACATCCATGCCAATCCTCCTCTTTTTGCTGAGGAAGACTGGCCCTGAGCTAACATCTGTGCCCATCTTCCTCCACTTTATATGGGATGCGGCCTCAGCATGGCCTGAAAAGTGGTGCGTTGGTGCGCGCCCGGGATCCGAACCCGGGCCACCGGCAGCCAGGCGTGTGCACTTAACCGCTATGCCACGGGTCTGGCCCCCTTTTGCTGCTTTTGAAACTTGATGGTACCTCTCACTCCCTACTCCTTTGCTTTCCGGGACAATACACTCAGCTGCTTTATTTAACAAACGTTTATTGTGCTACAGAGATGAACAAGACAAAGTGCTTTCCCTCAGGGAGCTTACTTTCTAGCTGTTTCTCCATGTGCCTCTCTCACCAGTCATTTCTTTCCTAAAATGTTGGGTGTTTCCAAGGTTTGTGGCTTTGGCTCACTGCTCTTTTCATTCTGTACACATTATCTGGGTGAGCACATCATCTGGCTTGGTTTTAACTCCCTCCTACATGCTCCCGAATCTAAGTTGTCAGCTTAGACCTCTTGACTGAGTTTCACCCTCACCTCTCACTACCCTGCTAGACAGCTCTGCATGCAGTTCTCACAGACAGTTCAAATTCAGAGGCCTGAAACGGAACTCAATGTCTTCCTGAACTTACTTTTATCACATCCTTCATTAAGTCCTGATGATTTCACCCCCTTAATGTTTCTCAAATCTATGCTCTCTTCTCCATCCCCCCTGTTGTCCTACTTACGGCCTCATCATCTTTCACCTGAAATATGACAGCCTTGTAACTGGTTTCCCCGCCTCTGGTCCTGTTCACCGCCTATCTCTTCTCCACGCTACTTGACTTTGGTTACAGCAAGACTGAGCAGCTTCCTGTGTGCTGTGCTCTCTCTCTGTGCGTTGCCCTTGCTGATCCCTGTGACTGGAGTCCTCTCCCTGATTCCTTTCTCCTCTCCCTGCTCCTCACCTAATTAGGCTGCCCCCTTTCACCTAGTTAACCTAGTTTATATAGAGGACTCATTTTAGGCCCATCTCCTACAGGAAACCTTCCTTGATGCCTCCTTTCACCAAGTCTGGGTTGGGTACTCCAGCTTTGTGTTCCCATAATACCCTTGGCACAGACCAATACATTATACTTACCACACTTGTTATAATTGTTTGTTTCCTCCTTGAGAGTGAGCCTTTTGAAGGCAGGTGTGATGTATTATACGTGCATCATACAGTACAGGTGAAATGTATTATATCTTTATTCCCAGCACTAGAATGGCACAAGGCACATAGGCATGTAGTCATTTTGGTTGAATGATCAAATGAGTGAAGCCAAAAGGTATATGGTGCAGTGATTAAGAACCCATTCTTTGGAATTAATTAAAAATCTACCTCTGGCACACACTGGCTGTGTGGTGTGAACGTGTAACTTATATTCTCTAAGCCTTAAATTTTCCCTTCCTTAGAATAAGAGTTGTTGTAAAGATTAAATGAGATGTTGTAAGACATTTAGCAAGTGCCTAGCACATAATATGCCTTTGATAAAGGTGTGCTGAATACCAGGGGATCCAGAAGTACGAGACCTGGCCTAGCCCAGGGCGGTGATCTCCAGGGCCCTTCCCCCGAGAGTTTCCTGAGTGGGTGGCCCTGATGCAGTGTGTTCACAAAGAGATTATAATCTCATGTGGAGAGTATTACATCAACATGAAAATTTCAGAGAAGGTAAATTGACCACACCCAATAACTAGATGTTAAGAAGAGAAGATAGCTCAGTGAAGGCCTCAGGGAGGAGGTGGGACTTGAAATTTGAGTAGGATTTGGGTTTCTAGGAGGGAGGAAAGAATGTAAGCTAATACCAGGAGATCATATTAAGAATGATTTATTTGGGAGATGTGATTCAGTACATTTTATCTGAAGGATGGATGTGTGTGCAAGGATGCACGTATGTGAGTCTAGGGGAAGGGAGAGGAGAGAAGGGTGGGTAAGTGGCACTAGTTTTGTGAAAAGTAGTGGAAGGTGAAAGAAATAACTAACCTCTGTGCAGTTAGAGTATGAGGGTCTTCAAGCCTGAGGGGTTTGAGACTGATCAGGGCTGAGCAAGTTTCCAGGCCTGTGTTGGACATTATGGTAGCCCTCAGCCATATGTGGCTATTTAAATTTAAATTAAGTTTTAAACAATCTTAAGTAAGGAATTCAGTTCCTCTGTCATACTAGCTACATTTCAGACGCTTGAGTGTCACATGCTAGCTGTGTTATGAGACAGAAGAGGTTTAGAACATTTCCTTCATTGCAGAAAATTCTACTGGACAGCCCTGTTCCAGGTCATCAGATTGCTGGCCTTGTGTGGCCTGTCAGATCACTTGGGTTTCTTACGAAATAATCAGGATTTCTTTCTGACCAGTCCTCACATTTCTGGAATGAAAGGTATGGAGCTGAGAAATAGAGAATTAGAATTCATTCACACAGGTGTGAGGATGTGTGGGATTGCCCAAAGAGAGGAGCAAAGCACCCCCATGAGAAGAAGAGGCGCCAGAGGAGGGCAGAGAGAAGGAGGGAAGAGAACCTGGGTGGGGTTATCATCTGGTCATTCACTTGCACATATTTATTGTATTCTTGAGGTATGGCAAGTGTTGTGTGAAGTGCTAGGAATACATTGATAAGCAAAAATGGGCTTGACTTGTGCTTTCTTAGAGCTTGCACTTTGTGATATTTTACTGGAGGAACTATATTGAAGATTCAGGAACACCCATCCTGTATGCACCCCATAGTCTAAAATGCTGCGTTCCTAGACGTTGGAACTGGAGGCCGACGTGGGCCAAGATATTGCTTTTTTTTTTTATAATTTTATTTATTTATTTATTTTTCCCCAAAGCCCCAGTAGATAGTTGTATGTCATAGCTGCACATCCTTCTAGTTGCTGTATGTGGGACGCGGCCTCAGCATGGCTGGAGAAGCGGTGCATCTGGTGCGCGCCCGGGATCCGAACCCGGGCCGCCAGCAGTGGAGCGCGCGCACGTAACCGCTAAGCCAAGGGGGCCGGCCCAAGGGCCAAGATATTGCTTAAGGTGAGTTGCATAAGCATTGTGCAGTCACTGCTTCAGCTTCTCAAGGAGTAGTAAATAGGAACGTCATAACTTCAGAACTTTGGGGAGAATAAAGCGTGTGAATGTGTGTTTGTGTTGGGCGGGAGGGGTAGTTCCTATTATTTTGCAACGGCCAGCCGTGCTCTCACTGCCCTTCAGATTCCTTCCTGGCCCTGCCCTCAAACTGTTCTTTCCAGGCTTCTTTTGTTGTCAGCATTAGCAGTTACTTACCATGTGACTTATTTCCCAATGCCTAGTGAAGACATACTTCACTTCTCAGTCCATTACCTGCTCCTTCATCAGTTTCTAGCAAGTGCAAACAGATGCCTCTCTGAACACGTAGCATTTAAAAGTGGGACCTGCCTGTAGCACCATCATCATTTGAGGCTCCAGGTTTAGGGTGTTAGATTTACAGCTGGCTCTTCATGCTCTTGCCTGGACTTCACGAAGACCTGCTGAACTGCCCTTTGGACCTCACTTTGGCCCACATGATGTTAACAGCCTCCTGACTAATCTCTGGCTCTAGATTTCTCCACTCCAGCTTGCACACGTACAGCTGTGGCTTCACCTTACTGTGCAGCTCAGAACCTGCCAGTTGTCCCCTACTGATTGTTAAATCTGAACTTTTAGCCTACTGTTCTTTCAACACCTCTGCATTTTTTTGTGACTCTCTGGGGCAGCTCCTGTGGGTCAGCCAACTAAGGTCTGCTTTCCACCCCTGACCCGTGGCTTGTCATTGCTGAAATCGGTGCTGTCACTTGTGCTCTATGGAATGTCCTCTGCCACTCCTTTTCTTATCAGTCCCCTTGGCCTTTTCAACAGGGCCTTTCTGAAGCCTTTCCTGACTGATCCAATTCCTCTGACTGCACCTCCTCAGCCCTCATTTGCTCACTCTGCTCTGCATGGTCCTGTCTTTGCAGATGGTAAGGGAACTCTGATTTTTAAAAATCTGGTTTATTTTCTGTTCCCCTTGGACACAAAGCTTGTGCAGAGGGCCTTCTGAGTGCTGCCTTGCCTACAGGGGACATTTCCCAAACAGAGGGTATTAGAGGCTTGAGCATTGATAAACCCTGGAGTCTAGGGAGGCATCCCAAAGATCTCGTCCTGTCGTTGCTCTTAATTCCTTGCTCAGCCTTCCTGGGTGAGCTCATCCTCTCTCTCTGCGTCAGTTTCTGTGATATGTTGGTGCCATTCAGTCCATTCCTCTCCCTGAGCTTCCTACTCATATATCCCAGCTTGACCCTTGGATCTTCTGCAAGCAACTTAATCTAGTTGTGTTTCAATTTGAAATCATCCCTTCTTCACCTACCATTTACCCCCAGATTATGTCTCCTTATGTATTGCTCATTTTGGTTAATGTGTATTTCCAAATTAGAAATCTTGGTTACTGTTTCCCTGTACTCCTTTGTCATGCCCCAAGTGCAGTCAGTAATTAAATCTACCTGCATGATTTCTTCTTCCTCTCCATCCCCTTTGTTCTGCCTTTCTTCAGGCCTCATCTTTCTCCTGAATTTCTTGTCTCTTTCTCTTCTATTGTTACTCTACATGGCCATGAGAGTTGTTTTTCAAAAGAACACGAGCACCTCTGCAGTTGTTGTGCAGGTTGTGTATTGCACAAACATGCTACATTCACATTTTAGAAATTGTAGGTTTATATGTTTATTATGACAGTCTTCTGGCAGATGGTGGTAAAATGTATTGTTCTAACATCAGTACGTTATGACAGTTAAAGAAGGGAAACCTTCTGATACATGTAAAGATACCTGTGGTCTGAAGAACATCCTCTCTTCTTATGTCCTTAATTCTCTGCCAGGCAAACTCCTCCTCATTCTTTAAAATCCAGCCTAGGGGCGGCCCGGTGGCGCAAGCGGTTAAGTGCACATGCTCCGCTGCGGCGGCGGCCTGGGGTTCGCCGGTTCGGATCCCGGGCGTGCACTAACGCACCACTTGTTGAGCCATGCTTGGCGGCGTCCCATATAAAGTAGAGGAAGATGGGCACGGATGTTAGCCCAGGGCCAGTCTTCTTCAGTGAAAAAAAGAGGAGGATTAGCATTGGATGTTAGCTCAGGGCTGGTCTTCCTCACACACACACAAAAAAAACAAAACAAAAAACCCAGCATAAATATCCCTTCCTCCTGAAGTCTTTTTTGATACTTCTTACAAGAGTCAGTCATTCCTTTCCCTGGGCTAATGCCATATTTGGTTACTCCCTTCTTATAGTGCTTATCCTATTATGTTGTAATAATTGGTATTTGAGTCTGTCTGTCTCACTGTACTCCAGGTGTCTCAAGGATAGGGACAGTGTTTAGTCATTCTTTGATGCGCAACATGTAGCCTAATGTCCAGCACATAGAGTCTATCAATAAACATAACTATTTGATTGCTTAGCATGATTCAGGCACAGAGGTAAATACTTTACCCACATTGTCTTATTTAATCCTCACAGCCGCCTCATGAGTCCTGTTATTATCATGTTTTACAGGTGAGGAAATTGAGACTAGGGAGGTGAAGTCACTCGCCTCCAGATGAACAGCTGGTAAATGGCCCGTGTGGTGGCGCTGGGTGTGGCCCTTGAGGACTTGGGTCGGTTTCTCCAGCGATTCTCTTCTGTTTTGTCTCTCAGAGTAATGATGCGGGTGTGCTGGTTGGTGAGACAGGACAACCGGCTGCAGCGAATAAAACTTCCACATTTGGAAGCTGTCGTGGTTGGGCGCAGCCCAGAGACCGAGATCACTGACAAGAAGTGTTCTCGACAGCAAGGTAACTGGTTTTAGGAATGTGGAGATTACCATGTTTGGTTCCTTGGGATAGTGATAACCAAAGATGCACATTCCCTGGATGCTGTTGATGGGAAACTTTTTGTCTGCCATAGACAAAACCCAGGAACTGAGCTCTTTTAGCCAACACCAGGGCCCCATTCACTCCTGATTCCACCCTCCGAAAGTGGTTAATATTCAGTGTTGGGAACAGGCAGGTTCCATCCTGTTACTCTGGGGTGCTGGAACTGAGTCCTGCACCCTGCTGCGCCCGGGGAGATTCCTCGTTGAGCAGTAAGACAGTGGACTTCTGGGATCTCTGGCTGAAACCGCATCTGAGCAGTGATGGGATGGTTCCATCCTTTACATATTGCCTCATACAGAGGGTGGTATCTTTATAAGACTATGGCGTCCAGCTCTTGAAATGTTTTTCCTGGGATTTAATGAAATGAAAGTCCCTAGGAAAAAGCCTTGTTATGTACCTCATTTTTTTTTTTTATAATTTTATTTATTTTTTCCCCCAAAGCCCCAGTAGATAGTTGTACGTCATAGCTGCACTTCCTTCTGGTTGCTGTATGTGGGACGCGGCCTCAGCATGGCCGGAGAAGCAGTGTGTCGGTGTGTGCCTGGGATCCGAACCCGGGCCGCCAGCAGCGGAGTGCGCGCACTTAACCGCTAAGCCACGGGGCCGGCCCTGTACCTCATTTTTTATCTGAAACTCCGGACATGCTTACTGCCGCCAGGCCTCTCACTTGTGGTGTGATTCCCATAGCAGGGTTTCCCAGGGCTGGGAGTCTGCAGCACTGATTATGGTTTTTCCCACATGAGTTAATCTAAATGGGGAAAAAAAAAGCCATGCTTGAGCTGGCTAGGCCAAAGACACAGAAGCAGACACCGTTTTTCGCTCGCTCTCCCCCTTGTCATGACAGCAGCTGGAGGAATGTGTGTGTCAGCCTGTCCCCTGCCTGTCCTCCTTGGAGAATAGCTATGGTGTTTCTTCTTTGCTCCCTTCTCACCCCAGAAACTTTGTTCACTTATCCGAACATGAATATTTAATGTTACTTCTCCCCACACATGCTCAGACTGTTCTGTCCCTGCAATCTTCTTTCTAGAATATTCTCTTCACTCCTCCTACCCAAGGCCAACTGAACTTCTGTCTTCCGGGAATGTATCTTTTGTCTCTTTCTCCGTTGAAGGCATCTGATAGTTTTATGTAATAGTGGAAGCCTGGTTTAATCCTGAGCCAAGAGCTTGTGAGAGAAGTGGATCCCTTTCCCTGACTGCAGAGTCTGTGATCCTGAGTGGGCCAAGGGCTCTGGAATAGGGAGACTTGTGGGGATTCAGTGAAGGTGCCTCACAGGAATATTAGCAGTAGCTAAGGTAGTGCAGTCACGCGCTGCATGATGGTGTCTCCGTCAACGACGGACTGCATGTATGATGGTGGTCCCGTAGGAGTAGCACCATATAGCCTAGGTGTATAGTAGGCTGTACCATCTGGGTTTGTGTAAGTATACTCTGTGATGCTTGCACGATGACGAAATCAGCTAATGATGCATTTCTCAGAACATGTCCCTGTTGTTAAGCGACACATGACTGTATGTACACTGTTGGATGTTTTATGGAAGGATTTGGAGCCCCAGCCACCTGCATAACAGGCGATTTTGCTCATAGGCCTTTGAGGAAACCCCCATCAGGTTGCCTCTTGGAGTGAGGCTCCACTGTCCTGTAGGGAGATAGGAGCAAGTGCCTGGTTCATGGCGTTTGGGTTTAACTTTTTTCAATCTCTTTCAGTACAGTTGAAAGCAGAGTGTAACAAAGGATATGTCAAAGTAAAGCAGGTATGTCTGTTTGTAACTCGGATTTCTATTTTATACTTGATTTTCTTATGCTGTTGACTTGAGAGTGTCTGTGCCAGCCAATAAAGGCTTCTCTGTCATGTGTGGAAGTGACGGAGTAATATAAGTGACGTTAAGCACGGTGCCTGGCACATAGTGAGTTGTTCACATAGCAGCGGCTGTATTATTAATGGTGTTAGTACTGTTGTTATAATTATTTTCTGATTTTTCCTTAGGTAGGGGTCAATCCCAGCAGCATTGACTCAGTCGTAATTGGGAAGGACCAAGAGGTGAAGCTGCAGCCTGGCCAGGTTCTCCACATGGTGAATGAACTTTATCCATATATTGTAGAGTTTGAGGAAGAGGCAAAGAGCCCTGGCCTGGAAACACACAGGAAGAGAAAGAGGTCAGGCAACAGTGATTCTATAGAAGGGGATGCTGCCCAGGAAGCTGAGCCCAGTACAGGACTGGCACCTGGGAGTGACCCCAGCCAATGCTCTGTGCCCACAAAGAAGGGGAAAGATGCATCTACCAAAAAGGTGAGGGTCGTGTGCTTGATAGATGATGGGGAGATTAAATGAGATGTAATGACTGCTTAGTTGTTTTGTATGCTGTAAAGCCTGGATAGTAAGGGGTTATTAACTATGACAAGGGTTATTAACTGTGATGACAGAGTCACTTGTTTGTGTCACCAGTCACCTGGATGAATATCCCTTTATGTACTTTTCTCTTGAATTCCTGACATAAGCCACTTGAAGGTAGGGCGATAATGGCAGTATACTCAACACTGAGCTACTAAAATGGGTCAGTCGTTTGTGTACCTGTAGAAGGTTAACATTGGAACACTTTTCATAGATCGTGTGATTCACCTCTGGATGTCAGAGTGGAAACTTAGTCAGGCTGTAGATGGAGTGGGAGGGGGCAAAGAAGATGCATTCACACTCAGGCATTTCCAGCCTCTGTCTAGACGTGCAGCTCTGGATATAGGAAGAAGATGGAGATGGCTTATGGTTACAAAAGCAAAAGATTGAGGTAAAGGTGATATAGTTATAATTCTTAAAAACTAACCTTATTTTCAAGTTTGGTTGGATTTGGCTGACATACAATATTAACTAATGCCAAATTTAACTATTGGCATTTGTGATTTACATTGCCTTTTTGTTTTAGGAATCCTTGGGCCACTGGAGTCAAGGCTTGAAGATTTCTATGCAGGACCCCAAAATGCAGGTCAGAATAAAATTTTGGCATTGAAATACATTTCATATTTTAAATGACCACTCCACAGAGGTCATAACTACAAGTGATATCAAAGGAGATCAGTCCTTCTGAATGAAAGTCATTTTATTGGGCTATTTTATGAGAACAAATGGCTTTTCCCATTGTCAGTAGCAACTGGAATTCTTTGGAGAGAAGCTAAGTTCTTCAAATGAATATCCCTTCTGCCTTGTTCCTCCTAAGCTTCTGGGTACTTTTAAGGGAAGTTTTGTTAACCTTTGTGTGGTCCCTTTCAGGGGAGCATCAGATAATGTATTGTAACTGTAGTTACTGGGCTGCCCTGGGACTAATAGTCAGGCATCATCCTGGGAGGAGTCTTTGAGTTCTTCTTGAATTACATCCTGGGGTGACAAGGGGCCAGATCTAATGGGGCTTCTTGGAACACACGTGCGTGTGTCACGTGGTCTGCTGTGTTAGAGCTGAGAAGGGTGCATTTGAATTTATGCCTGCAGGAATTTTACATCAGATCCTTAGGAACTGTTTTGTCCTTTGCATCTTCTGTGTATTCCGTGTACTGTGGTGATTGAAAACACAGACTCTCAGTCAACTAGACCTGGGTTGGAATCCTATATTTCCCACTTAGTAACTATGAGACTTTGTGCCAGACACTCAACTTATCTGAGTCTCTGTGTGCTCCTCTATCAAAATGGGGATTCTAAAACTTTTTGCATGAGATTGTGGTGTGAATTAAGTGAGTTAATGAACATGACAGCACCTGGTGCACAGAAGATGTGTGGTAGATGTCCATTTCCTTCTCTTGTGCCCTCTGCTAGGTTTACAAAGATGAGCAGGTGGTGGTGATTAAGGATAAATACCCCAAGGCTCGGCACCACTGGCTGGTCTTACCATGGGCCTCCCTTGCCAGTCTGAAGGCTGTGACCAGGGAACACCTTGAGCTCCTCAAACACATGCACACCGTGGGGGAAAAGGTGATTGCAGATTTCGCTGGGTCCAGCAAACTCCGCTTCCGAATGGGCTACCATGCCATCCCCAGCATGAGGTAAGTGTTGTGGGTTGTGCTGGTGCGTCCTGGTTCTGTCTAGGTGGACAGATGGGTTCAGCCTGGGTCTCTTCAGTGTGCTCAGAGCCCCGAGGCCCAGGGGAGTAGGGTGGGATGTCTCCAAGGCAGATGGACTGAGATTTCCACCCTTCTGCCTGACTTGCCTGCAAGCCTTGAGTTCCTACTTTTGCCTGTAATCCTGTCACATACGGTTCTTTGTTCCTTTCCAAGTGTAAACCTCTGGGGGCCGAACCTATGAACTAGGTGAAGCTGCTTCATTACCCGCAGATGAAGACTCGTAGTCAGTGACTTTTATCAGAAGCATCTGTAACTCCTAAATGGTTACGGACCGTTGCTCTGAAGGAGACAAACTTTGCTGACTTCTGTTATGACAGCTCAGTACATCTAAGATTTAAAATAAAATGAGAGGAAATTGTAGAGCCTGTTTTCCTTTGGCTCATCCCAGAAGGATTCAGAAAGGAATGATTGATTCTTTTCAAAGAAAGCAAGCATGGCAGATCTCCACAGATCTTGTTGTTTTTTTTTTTTTTTTTGCTGAGGAAGATTCACCCTGAGCTAACATCTGTTGCCAATGTTCCTCTTTTTTCTTGAGGAAGATTGTCGAGCTAACATCTGTGCCGGTCTTCCTCTATTTTGTATGTGGGTCACCATCACAGCATGGCTGCTGATGAGTGGTGTAGGTCCCACCCGGGATCTGAACCTGGGCCACCAAAGCAGAGCACACCGAACTTAACCATTAGGCCATGGGGGTGGCCCTCCACAGTTTGTTTGAGCTAAGCAAGGAGATAGGCAGACTAATTGGGTTTCAGAGTTTATATTGTGGTTTTTCTTTTGGTGGTAAAATATACATTTCATAAAATTTACCATTTTAATTATTTGTAAGTATACAGTTCAATGGCATTAAGTACATTCACATTGCTGTGCAACCATCGCCACTCTCTATTTCTAGAGCTTTTTCATCTTCTCAAACTACCTCTCATCCCCTCCTCCCCCGCCTCTGGCAGCCACCTTGTACTTTCTGTTTCTGTGAATTTGACTACCCTAGGTCCCTCGCATAAGTGGAATCATACAGTATCTATCTTTTTGTGACTGGCTTATTTCATTTAGGATAATGTCTTCAAGGTTTGTCCATGTAGCAGGTGTCAGAATTTCTTTTGTTTTTTTTTTCCTTTTTCTCCCCAAAGCCCCAGTAGATAGTTGTATGTCATAGTTGCACATCCTTCTAGTTGCTGTATGTGGGACTCGCCTCAGCATGGCCAGACAAGCGGTGCATTGGTGCACGCCCGGGATCCGAACCCGGGCCTCCAGTAGAGGAGCGCGCGCGCTTAACCGCTAAGCCATGGGGCCAGCCCCTGGTTATTTCTTTTTTAACCCACCCAACATTCTCCACATTTTGTTTAGGTGGGTAATTCTGACTTAGATTACTGGCTACTTTAACCAAATGAAATTTTTGTGCCGACCTCTTTTTCCCCATCAGTACTCTTTCTTTTAAATTGAGGCATAACTTACATACAAAAAATGCATAATAAGATTTACAGTTTGATCAGTTCTGACAAATGTATATGCCGTGTAACTATCACTCTGATCAAGATACAGAACATTTCTATCATCTCATCCAAGAAAGTTCCCTTGCACTGCTTTCCAGTTAACCCCCAGTGTTGTTCTGATTTCTTTCAGCATAGGTTAGTTTTGTCTGTTTTAGAACTTTACATAAATGGAATCATACAATGTGTACTGTTTTTCTGTCTGGGGCTTTTTTTGGTCAGCATAATGATTTTGAGATTCATGCATGTTGTTGTGTATATCATGGACATACTTCATTTTTTTGCTCTTGGGTAAATACCTAGAAGTGGAATTCCTAGGTCATAGGGTGGATCTATGTTGTACCTCATTTAAAAAATACATATATTTTGGGAATGGCCTGGTGGTGTTGTGGTTAAGTTCGTGTGCTGCACTTTGGTGGCCCAGGGTTCGTGGGTTCAGATCCCAGGCACGGATCTACACACCTCTCATCGAGCCATGCTGTGGCAGGCATCCCATATATAAAGTAGAGGAAGATTGGGACAGATGTTAGCTCAGGAACAATCTTCCTCAAGCAAAAAGAGGAAGAATGGCAACGGATGTTAGCTCAGGGCCAATCTTCCTCACCAAAAAAAAAATAAATAAATAAATAAATAAAAACCAAAAAAACCCATATATTTTTTATCATTAAAACCTTATTCACAAAGTTAGGGCAAAAAGTCACCCATAATCCTATTCCCCTAATGCTCCAGAGCCCTTGACTGCAGAGCCCTTTTCACATAGAAATCACGATGTCTGTACCTTTTGCATATAATGAACATTGTTATGCTAAGGAGGGTGCTAACGGCAAGAGCTGTGGCAGGCATGGGTGGGAAGCAAAATGAGTGGTAAGTCAAGTTGCCACTTACATATCCTTTTATGACCACTCTTTATGATATAATTTTGAATAAACATTATAGAAAGGAAAAAGTAGCAAAATAAATAATTTTTTCTATTATAAAAGTAATATATTTTCAATTTAGAAAATATGGAAAAGTAAGTATGAAGCTGAACAAAGGTTTTCCGTAATATCACCACTAATTGAACTCTAGATCGTACTCGAATTTCACCCGTTTTTCTTATAATTTTTTTCTGCTCCAGGATCCAATCCAGGATTCCACATTGCACTTGTTTGTTGTCTCTCCTGTTTCCCCTCATCTGTGACAGTTCCTCCTCCTTGTCTGGTTTTCATGACCTTGATACTTTTGAGGAATACTGGCTAGTTGTTTATAGGATGTCTCTCAATTTGGGTTTGTCTGATAGTTTTTCATGATTAGACTGAAGTTATGCTTTTTTTTTTTGCACCAAGATACCACAGAACCACTGAAGTGCTGTTGTGTCCTTCTCAGTGCATCATATCAGGGAGTGCATGATGGCGAGATGGTTTATTACTTGTGATGTTAACCTTGACCACTTTGTTAAGATGGTATCTGCCAGGTTTCTCTACTCAAAGTCTTTGTAATTGATGAATATTTTGAGACTATGCTGCTAACCTCTTTCTCTTCAAACGTTTGCCCAGTGATTTCGGCATCTGTTGGTGAATCTTGCTTGCAACAGTTATTGCCGTGATGTTTACCTAATGGTTATTTTATGTTTCCTCATTCCTTCTAATTCATTAATTAGAATTCTTCTGTATGGAAGAACTAGCCCTTCTCCCCCATTATGTATGTATTCAGTTATTTATCAGAATGGACTCATGGATTTTATTTTATTCTATAGGTTTTAATTCAGTCTATCATTATTTATTTTGTAGCCCAGTTTGCTCCAGCCTTGGTCATTGGATGCTCCTTTAAGTTGGTTCCTGTATCACTTTACACATCCTCCAGCATTTTTTGAACGCTTCCTTATTTTCTGGCTCCTTATTTCCTTTTTTTCTGGTCCCTTATTTTCTGGAACAAGATGTTCCAAGCTCGTCTTAGATTTTTCCTGTTTTAGCCCTGGAATGAACCGCTTCTCCAAAGAGCCCTAGTTCCTTTTTTTTTTTTGAGGAAGATCAGCCCTGAGCTAACATCTCATGCCAATCCTCCTTTTTTTTGCCAAGAAAGATTGGCTCTGGGCTAACATCTGTGCCCATCTTCCTCTACTTTATATGGGACGCCACCACAGAATGGCTTGACAAGAGGTGCATCGGTGTGCGCCCGGGATCCAAACGTGGGAACTCTAGGCCGCCAAAGCAGAACGCACGCACTTAACTGCTGCGCCACCGGGCTGGTCCCCCTAGTTCCTTTTATTGGAGAATGATATTTATAAACCAAGACTTGGGTACTAGGTTTCTGTAATGAGAGAAGTGGTTGATTCCAGCGTGTGTTTGCTCCTAGGTCCTCTCAGCAGATAGAGCCAGGAAATGCATGTGTGAATCCTAACCCACACAGAGACACACACCTCTCTACTTATTTCTGTATTTGTCCACCTCTATAAGTATATGGAAAACCATGAGTTCATGATGATGACCTCTGATTCCAGTCCAGCTCCACAAGGTTCATTCTTGTCCCCCACTTTCCTTTATTGTAACTTCTTCCTCCAACAGTGAGAAATCTGGCTCTCGTTAGCTACAATAAATTCACTTATTTGTTCAGTCCCAGTATACATATAAAATAGTTACAGAATTGCTAACCCACACCCCTGTGAGAAAGACATTTATTCACTAGAGCATGGTATTTGTATACAGTTCTTTTATCTTTACAGTATCCAGTCACAATACTGTTTTCCAAAGTTAATTAGGTGAGTTATTTTCCTCCTGACCCCCTTCATCCCTTACTCATCTGTTATACAGTTCGGTATACACTTCATCTAATGTGAAATATTACTGATTTTGAGAGTCAGAGCCATACAAAAGGTGTCCTTCTTGGTTTAACAAGTCCAAAAGAGAGCTTTTGATTTTCTTCCCCAAACCCGCTTTCCTGAGCTTCTCCACCTCAGTAAGTGGCGCCTCCCCAAACCCACATCCAATCCATTAGTAAGTCCTGTTGGTTCTGTTCCACAGTGTATTCAAAATTGGATTGCTTCTTGTCATCTGAACTACGACAGCTCTGGTCTAAGCCATGCTTATTTCTGGCGTGGACTGCTGCAGTCTGTATTTATCTCTCTGTGTCCATCCTTCCCCTCTTTACAGTCCTTTCTCCACACAGCAGCCAGAGTCATCTTTTAAAAGTATAAATCAGGGCCGGCCCGGTGGCTTAGCGGTTAAGTGCGCGTGTTCCACTACTGGCTGCCCGGGTTCGGATCCTGGGCGCGCACCAACGCACCGCTTCTCCGGCCATGCTGAGGCCACGTCCCACATACAGTAACTAGAAGGATGTGCAACTATGACATACAACTATCTACTGGGGCTTTGGGGGAAAAAAAGGAGGAGGATTGGCAATAATGTTAGCTCAGAGCCGGTCTTCCTCAGCAAAAAGAAGAGGATTAGCATGGATGTTAGCTCAGGGCTGATCTTCCTCACCAAAAAAAAAAAAAAAAGTAGAAATCAGATCACAGCACTCCCCTGCTTGAAATCCTTAGTGGCTCCCCGGTGTAATCAGAATCAAAGGACCCCTTGCCGACTATAAGACCCTTTATGATGTGGCTCCTCCCTAGTTGCTGCTCCTCGGCTCCAACCATTCTGGCCATATTACCTTCTTTCTGTTCCTTGGTTGCACCAAGCTCTTTCTCATCTCAATGCCTTTGCACTTGGCCTCCCCACCCCCTGAAACATGCTTTCCCCAGATCTTTGCTTGCCTGACTGCTTTCTCAGCTCAGATCACTGCCTTGGAGAGGCCTTCCCTGAACACTCTAGCTAGTTAAAGAGGCAGCCTCTACCCCTGGGCATGCTCTAGCCCCTTTCCCTGTTTTATTTTTTTCTTGGCAATGTTAATGATTTGAATTTTCCTTGTTTATTTGTGTGCTCATTTTTTATTTGTCCCCCTCATTAGAATATGATTCCTAGAAGGGCAGAGGCCTTTCCCATACTGTTCACCGCTAAATTCCCAGGGCTAGAAAAGTGCTTGGCCATAGTAGGTACTTTTTTTTTTTTTTTGAAACATTTTATTTTATTTTATTTTTGTTGAGGAAGATTGGCTCTGAGCTAACATCTGTTGCCAATCTTCCTCTTTTTGCTTGAGGAAGATTAGCCCTGAGCTAACATCTTTGCCAGTCTTCCTCTGTTTTGTATGTGGGATGCCGCCACAGCATAGCATGATGAGCAGTGTGTAGGTCCATGCCTGGGATCTGAACCTGTGAACCCCGGGCTGCCAAAGTGGAGTGCGTGAACTTAACCACTATGCCATCGGCCGGCCCCAGTAGGTGCTTAATGAGCATTAAATATTCTTCAGTGAATGAATGAATGAATCGAATTAAGTGGAAACACTGTCAATATTTTACATACTCATACTTTTACTGTTTGTTGTTTTGATTATGCCATAGTTGTTAATGGATCTAATGGTTAATTTTCTTTCCTCTCAACTAGCCATGTACACCTTCATGTGATCAGCCAGGATTTTGATTCTCCTTGTCTTAAAAACAAAAAACATTGGAATTCTTTCAATACAGAATACTTCATAGAATCACAAGGTAAACAGTGTTCTTTGTTTTCACATTTCTTTCATTTTCTCAGCTGTTCTTATACGTGATTCAATTGTTTACCTACATTATAACCTGGCCTTAAAAACCCATGTACAATTTGTGTTTCCTGTAAAGAGATCCCTACTAAGAGAAACTGGATTATTTGGATTGTAGCAGGATTGCCACTTTGCTGTGAGCAGCCTTCTTGGGGGACCTAGAAAGCTGTTTTGTCAGGGTCAAAAAGGTCTTTTATTGCAACAACCGGATGTAATGGGTGTCCTGAGAGTTATTGGAGTTCATGGGTATAAAAGCTCTGAACATTCTGTCTCTTCTGCCATCAGCTGGGCAGGGGCTTGGGGGCTGCCTCCTGAGAGTGTCGGGAGTGGTTAGTTAATGGGGGAAGGCTGTGTACATGTGGAAGGAAGCATTTCCCGGTGTGAATACTGTGGAACTTCAGTATGCTGGGGTGTTAATGATGATAGCTATGACTGACCAAGGGCCAGCCAGGGCTAAAGTGCTGTGATAAACCTGACACAGTAACATGGATTGTGAGAGTGCATCCTGAAGGAATGTAATCATCTCAAAAATAGGTAGCTCAGATTTAGAATCTGATCCAGCCCATGTTCCCAACAGTGAGTCTAACCTCAAGTTTACTGACTTTAGCATACCTGGCATATTTTTATTTGGAGCCAGATTTTCTTTTTTTTTTGGTATCTTACATTGGCTTTCCAGAGGAGCTGGACTCTGAACTTGTTTTCCTTGCGTGCAGCTGTGATCGAGATGGTGCAAGAGGGTGGCAGGGTGACTGTCCAAGACGGGATGCCTGAGCTCCTGAAGCTGCCCCTCCGTTGTCACGAGTGCCAGCAGCTGCTGCCTTCCATTCCTCAGCTGAAAGAGCATCTCAGGAAGCACTGGCCACAGTGACTGCAGAGCCTGGACTTCTGCAGCAAGTATGGCTGACTGTTTAGAGCAAACTCCTGCCACCTGTTCTGGATTCCCTGTGAACTTTTACTTGTTTTTTGAATTAAAACATGCAGCTTTTTTTTTTTTTACAAAGCTTGTTCTATTCCTGAGTGGCTACAATGTGAGGTGACTTGAAGTAGTTCAGGAATTAAGAATTTGGGCTTGTCATGGATGTGTTCTCTGGTGAGGAAGGCTGGGATATGCCCGACCCACCATCTCCAGCACCCACGTCAGGTTTGACTAATGGGAGCAAAGCCTTGTTCAAACTGACCCGTTGCAGGATATGGAAGCAGAGGGCGGGCTGTATATTTCTGTTCCTTACATTTATCCTCCCTCCATGGAGGCGTGTGGTCCCCTTTCATCAGAGCAGCCAGAGGGGTCTCTTATTTATCCTGAAGGTACTGATTGGTCTTGTTCTCTGGTCTTAACCTGTTCTGTAATATTCTTTCTCTTTCCCTGCCTCATGGGGAGACTTAGTTTCTTCTGTCTCTTTCATTCCTTTCCATCGAAAATCACCCAAATGCTCAGGAAGTCTGTCTGATCAGTTCTCCTTCAGTCTGAGCAGACAGGCTAGGTGAGCAGTGGAGGGATGGGGTTTTCTTCCAATGTCAGAGATTCCTAGCTGCTGAGGAAGTACCCAACCTTGTTCACCACGGTTCAGTGTCAGCTTTCTTGCTGGCCCACTTGGATCTGTGTCTGAAGACAAAGTTCATTTGTTTGGGACATCTCTCTCAGTTAGTTGAAAACTCCCAGGAGTTCAGCTAACAGTCACAAAGTCAGTTCTGATGCACGCAAAGGTAGCTGTCAAATGAAAAAGTCACACAGACCCCATAGCTTCATTTTTCCCTCCGAACAAATTTGTATGGAACCGTTGGGTCAAGTTGGTTTTTGGATAATGTCAGAACTAAAGGTAAAAGGAAATCCAAAACACTGTTTTTGATCAAATTGTTGATCTGTTTGGGGCTGTGACTTTTTTTGCCCTTGAGTTTAAAAAAAAAAAAAGAACACCTTTAACAATAACTTCTCTCTGAAGAGAGAAAACCTCAGGCCATAGAGCACATTTGACCTCAGTGTCTTCCACAAGTAAACAAGATGCTGCAGTGGTTTCTTGGTGAGCATGGGCGTAGTCATAGTTAGTAGTAATTAGTGATTAAAGCACTAACACTTGTTGCACTCCTGCGTGTCTGGTATTATGCTAAGCACTTTACTCAAATTCTCTCATTTATTTCTCACTGTAACACTGTGGGGTAGGCACTATTGTTATGCCCCTTCAAAGGATGAGGATTTAATAATCTATAACGGATCCTGGGCTCCAAAGTTGGTCTCGGTTCTGGTGCGTCACACTCGTCCCTGTTGGTTGAAGAGGATAAATGTAGCACTAACCAGCAGGGGCCATGGACCCCCAGAGGCCTTGGGCTTGTGCTGACCAGAAGCTTTCCAAGGCGTTTCATTGATTTCTCCAAGGATAGTCGGTTCCTTTAAAGCCCACTTTGTCCACCTGTCACTACCCAGCATCTTTCATCTCTGTCCTCTGTCCTGTTTGCACTCCAGGAGTGCAGTCCTTACCTCGTTAGCCCAGCCAGCCACAGTTTCTCCTGCCTGGCTCTACCTGGACCTTTGAGCCTGCCCAGGCATCTGCCTCCTCTCTGCAGTGGCTGCCTACTCACCTGCGGCCCAGGGGCTCTCCCCGACTCAGCTGTAGAGGGGATGTGGCTTCATAGCTTCCCTTGTGCTGTCATCAGGTACGAGGCACTGAAAGTCTTTTCAAAGTCTTGGGCATATTGGTTAAAAACAGTCTCCAGATTCAGATCCAGGTCCCACTCCTGGCTTTGGTACTCAGCTGAGGGATCTTGGGCAAGTTACTTATTCTCTCTGAACTTCCGGGTTATAAGGACTAAATAAAATAGTCCATGTAAAAGATTTGGCCTAGTATCTGGTGCAGAGAAGGACTCAATAGATGGCACCTGGAATCTTCTGCTCTTATTTCAGTGGGATTGGGAGGGGGGTGTCGCTTGATCAGTCCCCCTCTCCACCTCTGAGCCCTAGAGCCCCCCAGAAACTCTTTTTAAGGGTCTGTACTCCATGGACTCCTAAGATCAGAAGTACTTGTTTCCTTTTAAAAAATGTAAACACCTGGGCTCTTCACCAGAACTGCTGAATCACATTCCCCTGGGCCTAAGAGTCTGTGTTATAAAACAGACATTGGGGATGATCTTTGTTCATACTAAAGTTTGAGAACCACAGTATAAATGAACCCTTGGCTTCAAAGCACTTTGCATTTCTGAAGCTTCCGGATTAGGCTGTGCCCTGCCAGGACGCACACCATTTTCTGGTTGGCTTTCTGGGCCTGCCTTCCCTCTGCAGGGTCAGTGTTATTTCAGGATCCAGGGGGACCTTGGGCATTAGATGAGGGGGAGTGACTGGCTATAACCCATCCCTTTCTGCATGGGTTGGGAGGTGCCCCTCTGGCCCCAGGCTCTTAGGGGCAAGGCCTGGAGCTGATGACCGCTCCTCTTCAATGGCTGCGTCCTCTCTTCCTGTCCAGAGGTCAGTCCCAGAGTCTTGGCCTGAGACCTGTGGTGAACTCAGCCAGCCTTAGACTCAGAGCTTATATATTGTTCCTCTTCCGGATCTGTCTCTGAGTTATCCACATACAAATAGTCCTTTCAGGGAAGAGACCATGCTTGGGATGGTCATTAAGAGTCTCTGCAGGTTCAGGGACATTTGCTGGAGCCTGTCGTCTGGCAGTCAGTCACAGACACTGGATATGGCTGGATATCAGAGATTCAGGGCTCATCTGTGTCAGAATTGGACTAACTGCCTCTCTCTGTCCCAGTAACCCCAACTTGGAGAGTTCCACAGAGCTCTGAAGATTCTTCCGTAGACTAGATTAAAAAAATACAATGAAAGCCATGAAGCCCACTGCCCAGAATAATGTATATATACACATTTTATATACGTTAATAGGGAATTTATGAAGCCCCTGAAGTGCTGTCATAGACTCCCTAGGGGTCTGTGGAGCCCAGCTTAAGAACCTCTGCTCTGGAGAAGATGGTCATCCCCAGGCATCTGGGTTTTCAGGAGGTGTCTGGGGTCACTGGGGGGGATTAGGGGACAGACCACATCTCCAGGATGTTTCTGGGATGTTCTTTGATCTCCATGCTCCTCTCTCAGCCTTTTGGTAGATGCACATCCCGGGGGCCTCTGGCTGGAGATAGAATTCAGGCCCAGGAGCTGCTGGCTCCAGTTTAGCCACCACACTCAGCAGGAGTCTTGGGAAGTGGAGACATCCTCAGTGGGTCTGAGGGGTTCAGGAACCCTGGCTGACAGACTCATGATAAGTGAACTAAAAGGCACTGAATCTACATTAACTAAAATGAAGGTCTAGGGGAAACAGTACCAGTCGTCTGCACAGACAGATCAGTTGCACTGTGACTGTATCCCAGTCCAGTGGGAGTGGCAGTGTTTGGGTACAGTGTGTTAACAGTACAAACTGCACTGAGGACCCAGGTCAGCTTGTCCTGTTAAATTACTAAGGCAGAGATTTTACTGAGGCCGAGCCAATGCACTTGAGAATTACAGAGCATTTCACAAACTTCAGGTAAGGGGGCCAGTGAACTTTTTTGTGTGTGTGTGAGGAAGATTGGCCCTGAGCTAACATCTGCCAATCCTCCTCTTTTTGCTGAGGAAGACTGGCCCTGGGCTAACATCCGTGCCCCTCTTCCTCCACTTTATATGGGACGCCGCCACAGCATGGCTTGACAAGCGGTGTGTCAGTGCGCGCCTGGGATCCGAACCGGCGAACCCCAGGCCGCCACAGCGGAGCGTGTGCACGTAACCGCCTGCGCCACCAGGCTGGCCCCTGAACTTTTTAAAAATAGGTATTGCAGAAGCATTCAATTTAATTTTCTACCTGATCAACAATGCCATATAGTTTAGCATATCAATATTAAAATCAAAATGAGAATATTTGATAAGAAACTGCAACCAAGGAGAGACTATCACAGACAGTGTCATATGTGAGATATATTGAAGGGAAATGTGGGAGAGTGAGGTGACCACGTCTACATTCTTTGTTCAGCCAGGCTACTCAGTGACCTTGAATAGTAGATCTTTCAGAAGAACAAATGTGAATGATGACTTGGACGGACCAGAAAAATGATGTGAGATATGGAGGTATATATGTCACCCCCTTCCCGAGTGGGCTATTGTTGACATTATCATTAGAAAAAATTACCTTTCTTTGCCTGTTTAACCCAGATTTATCGTTGTGTTACAATTGGGTGGATTCTTCTCAAGGTACAGGGCATACTGGCGTGAAAAAAATAGACCGAAAGTCTGTAAATCACATGATGCCAAGTTGTAGTGTTTCCTCTGTTGGAGACTATCCTTTTTTTATCTTGGCCCTGTTATAGCCAGGCAAGGCAGCAGTTTTATTAAAATAAAGCAGAGAAGGTAGATGAGATGTGACGGTCAGAGCTGAACTGAACCTGAGACTGAGTAAGCAAATGCCTTATATGAGAGCATGAAGAATAGACCTTGAACAGTTTATAACAGATCTAAAGTCAGAGCTGGAGAAAAGGGCTATCAAAGTCCATTAGACTCTCTGAATTGGAGTGTCTAATATGTGTATCTTAATCTGTTAACTTTTCTTTTTGCAAGCAAACAAACTCTACCAGCAGGGAATGGACTTTGGGTTTTAGTCTCCTAATGATTAGGGTTCTGATGCTTCCGACTCAGGAAGGGGCTGGTAGGTGAGCGGCATGTAGGCAGTTGTCAAATGACCCATCACATCAGTGACATACTTAGGTGCTGAAGAGTTCCCGTGGCAGCTGCTCTCTATGCAAACCTCAGGGGAAGGAATGGCCTGGGCGAGGGGCAGTGGGAAAGGAGTTTAGACCTCTAGGATTCTGGGCCACTCATACTCAACTTTCTTTGCCTGTTCCATTTTGCAGATTTATTTTGAGACTATCTATTTCAACTTTCTCAATTTTTAGAAGGCAGCTGGGACTTGGAGGTTTAAGGGGCTCATTTAGCAATTTAAACTAGATCTTGCCTTTATTGAAGTCCTCTCCACTTTTCCCAGATGCTCT